GGGTCTGGGGAGGGTAAAGTGTACGCAGACCTTACACCTACCTCGTAGAGATAGTGAGAGACTGTTTTCGACAGACCCTCAGTTTAACTAAAGCATGTAAGAGCATGAGTAAAGATAAAGGAAAAGGAAAAAGTGGATATATGGCTTAAGTAATGATATTTGTTTGCAACTTTTCTTTTCCTTTTTCTTTGTTCTCTCATTTTCTCCTTTCCTTTTTTTGGTTTCTTTATTTTTCCATTGTAAGGTTTGGTTGGTGGAGTGGAGGTAGTTTATCTGGAGTTTCTTTGAAGGGACAGTGTTGTTTGTTTAGTTTGATTTCCGCTTTTGAGTGTTTGATTAACGTTTACATATACTTCATGAATCTTTATTCGTCTTTTGCATATGTGCATATATTAGAATTCGTTCTCAGCCACGGAATCCTCTGAACTATTTCATGTGTTGTGGGTCAGGTGGACTTTAGTACAAAGCTCATTTAGTTTCTCATTTCTACATTTTGCTGCTGAGAGGAAATTGATATGCAGACACCAAAAGGAAGGTATTTTGCATCTGTTTTGTTTGTCATCCCGTCTTCATGAGACCAGAACATTGATTTGTTTGTCATCCGTAAACGTAGATAAATTTGTCAGTTCAAGAGTGTTTCAACTAATAAGTTATCAACTACCCTTTTTCATATTAAATTATCACCTTCTTGTTTTTAGTGCATTCATTCACTAAGTCGGAGGAAATTGTTCGTCTAGAACTCAGTGGTCTTTTAAGCAAGAGTTAATACTGTTGAACTTTTGAAGAAATTATTCTCGAAATGCTCGTAACTATACTATATCATGAAATTCACATGGTATCGAGGTTGAAGATTGGCAGATCCATTTTTTTCTGTTTGGGAAAAAAAATTATGTGATGTGGCCTTGCAAGAAGGAGGTTAAAGCGTTAGATCAGCTTAAGAAATGTCATATTTAAATTTCCGTAACATATTAGTGCTACTAATGAAATGGCTTTAAGACTCTGATGTGTTCTAAATGAAGCCATTGGTGAAGTTTTCGCCAAAATATTTGGTGTGTTGAGCGATAAAAAGGAAACTTGACTTACATTATTAAAAATAAAACAAATTGTACTTATCGGCGAGTCTGTACTGTCTCTTTAACTAACTTGTTCTCTTTCTCCCATTTTGCTGAAGGACTGTTTCTGTGGAAGTGCCTCAAAGGACATCTGCTGCTACACTAAAGACAGCTCGAAAGCTCAGGACTCCAGGGTCAGATGGTGATTCTGTTTCATCTCCGAATCCAGCCAACAGAACACCTAAAGATAGGAGTCCAAAAGTTGTTTGTCGCCGGTCACCACGGAGTCCAGTGATAGAGGTGCTTGAGTTATGTTATGTGTTCAGATGTGCTAGCCACTTATTTCTGTTTCTAATTATTCGTTCTTTTCGTAGTTAAAGGTACTTATAATATTATTCTAATGCTCATTGTTCTTATTTGACAACCTAGAAGAAGCGTCCTGTCAAAGCATCTGACTTGGAAACGCAACTTGCTCAACTCCAAGATGAGGTAAAGAAGGCGAAGGACCAGCTGAGTTCTTCTGAATCATTGAAGAAAAGGGCTCAACAGGATGCTGATGAAGCTAAAAAGCAGCTTGCAGTCATGTCAGAAAAGCTCGAGGACTCTAAGAAGCAGCTGCTTGATCTCTCAGATTCAGAAGAAGCTCGACTGCTGGAGTTGCGCAAGATATCACAGGATCGAGACCGAGCATGGCAATCTGAGCTTGAGGCTATCCAGAAGCAGCATGAGTTGGACTCTGCTGCTTTGTCCTCTGCCATGAATGAAATACAGAAACTTAAACTTCAGCTGGACCGGGTGGCTGATTGTGAAGCCGCTCAAGCTCATCATGCTGAGTCAGCTTATGTTGAGATACAAAGCTTAAGGATTGAACTTACAAAGACCCTTACATTGGTTGATAAACTGAGAAACCAGCTTAACGATAGCAAGGAATCTGAGGCTTGTTCATTTGAAGAAGTGAGCAAAGCTCAGACGCAGCTGGAAGTGGCCAAGATGACCGAGGATACTCTACGTTCTGAAGGTCTGAAAGCAATGGAGGCTTGCAGGACCTTGTCTTTGGAGTTGGAAAAATCAAAGGATCGAGTAGCTTCATTGGAGGAGCTTGTCAGCAAACTCCAGTCTGGTCTGGTAGGCTCTTCCGAAAGTTCTGTAGCTGCAAAAGAAAACAGCTTAAATGTAGAAGCTGAGAAACTAAACATTGAGCTGAGTACCATCCAAGTTGAGGTAAGTCAATTAAGAGCTGCTTTGGAGGATTCAGAGAGAAAGTATCAGGAAGAATACATACAGAACACCTTGCAGACACGAAGTGCTTATGAGCTGGTGGAGCGCACAAAATCCGAATCACTTCAGAGGGAGGCTGAATGGGAGGCAATACTAAATGAAGCAAAATCGGAAGTGGAAGAGTTGAAAGAAAAATTGATGAACATAGAAGCTCAACTTGTTGATATTTCGGATGTGAATAAGGGGCTGAGTCTGCATGTTGAGCAAATGCAGTCAGCTGATAAAGAATTTGAATTAGCTGCTCAACTGAATAAATCAGAGTCAATTTTGGGAGATCTGAGAGCAAGTTTATTAGACAAAGAGACAGAGTTGCTGAGTCTTATGGAGGAGAATGAGCAGTTGAAGTTGGAAATCAGTAAGAGGGAATCAGAGAGTACCAAAGTTAGCGACGAGGCACTTGCCTTAGTAGAAGAAGCAAAAACTGCAGAAAGAGAGGCCCTGATGAAGCTGGGAGATTTGACTGAGGAAGCAGATAAAAGCGGCAGAAAGGTAACTCGTGTCACTGAGGAGTTGAATGCAGCACAGGCTGCAAACTCGGAGATTGAAACTGAGCTAAGGAGGTTAAAAGTGCAATGTGATCAATGGAGAAAGGCTGCTGAAGCAGCTGCATCTATACTTTCAACTGGAAATAACGGGAAATATGTCGAGAGAACAGGTTCTTTAGACTACCACACTATCGGTGGAAAGCTTGGTTCTCCACTCTTGGACGACTTGGATGATGACTCACCAAAGAAGAAGAATAACAACATGTTGAAGAAACTCGGTTTTTTATTGAAAAAGGGCCAGAAGTAAATAATGCGCTATCGTGCAGGTTGCTTTCACATGATCATTGCTCCATTTCTGCAGTAATCTTGATCATGTAAACATTTTTCATCATTTGTTAATAAATTTACTAATTTTCCTTCTCAGGACTTGCTGAGCTGATGCCTTCATGGAATTAATCGTTTTCGCAGATTTTTGTATAGCTGTTTGGAAATCTTCAGTTTGTATGGCAATTGGTATTTTCAGATACAGACTGTTGTATTTTCCAAGTAGTTCTTGCAAGTGTAATGAAAGCTATGACAGATGATTAATGGTAAAATTTGGTCTGTTGCATTAGATTTTTCATGTCAAAGATGACATTTTTGATCTATCTTTACTGTGTAGAGTCCCACATTGGCCCTTTTTATGGATGAGTGGTATCTTTAATATGACTTAGCTGATTTTCACATCTTCAACTAGCTCTTGGGTTGAGTTTGACCCAATATTCATTTTTTTAATATAATATCAGAGCAGGACTCATCTCAATTCTCAGTTTTGATATTGGGCTTCTATATTAATTTGTTCATGCACCATATGTCCGGCCACAAGTGTGTCGAGCGGTGTAAAGAGTCTCACATCGGCCCTTTAAAAGACAAGTAGGATAATTCTTAGAAGTCACCTTTTGAGTTAATTTTTGAGAGTCTCACATCGGCCCTTTAAAAGACAAATAGGATATTTCTTAGAAGTCACCTTTTGAGTTAATTTTTGTGGTTAAGTTTGACTCAAAATTAAATTTCTTAAGAGAAAAGATATATATAAAAAACTAAAGTACTCCAATTTTTTGAGTTTCATACTTGAATTATCATGTGTGTGTGTACTTTTAATAAACATTTAGTAATAATTCACACATTGATAGTTCAGATATGAAACTCAAAAAATTAGGATACTTGATACTTTTGACCTTCCACTATTTGTTTGACTTGGTGATTTTTTGTTTTGTTTTTACGTTGTTAGGAATATTTTTGGCTATTTTTTTTTAAAGTTAAAGCTATGAAGGGTAAAAAAAAAGGAAAAATTACTTAAATACACAACACTTCTTTACCTATTCTCAATATTTCTCTACTCTTTTACTAAAATACAAAAATCCCTTATTTCCCCCCAATTCAACTTAATCGGATACTTAATTAGATAAAGTATCCGCCCGTTATAAATTAAAGTATCCCGTTATTAATTAAAGTATCCGCACTATTAATTAAAGTATCCGCGCTGCTATATTATGTATCCGAAAAACACTAAAAAAAGGGATTTTTGGTAATTAATGAAAGAGTAGGGAAAGGAAGTAATTTCTTTCTTATACTATGTCATTTGCCTAATTTTTACAAAAAAAAAATGTAGATTTTACACAAATCTTATAGTGTTAATAGTTAATCACATCTTATCCTTGCTCTTTTCCAAATTCCATAAATTTGGTGCAATCTGGATACATCTCAAAACGTCTTGATACATTGCGTCCAGTTATAGATACATCCATCAACGTCCTAATACATCACATCTTGATTTCGGATACATCACTCAACGTCCCGATGCATCGCGTAAAGTGATGTATCCGACTGATCTATACATCCATACGTCCTGATACATCGCGTAAAGTGCTGTATCCGATCGATACATCGCATAAAGTGATGTATCCGATTGATACATTGCGTAAAGTAGAGAATTTTTGTAATTATTTCAAATGGTAGAGAATATAATAAAATAATTTGTGTATTTAAGTAATTTTTCCAAAAATTAAAGATCACCTCAAAATAGAGCATTTGTACCAATGACCCAATTATTTTCAAATCGACTCTATTGGGCCCAAATATTTGATCCAAGCAAATTTTATAAGCCCAAAGTAGCCCTCTTCGTATAAACATATATAGTCCCAAATTTCTTATAATTAGGGTTTTATTAGGCGGCAGACTCTTCTCCTTCAACCTCTGTAAACCGGAGTAATCATCTTCAATCAGCAATCATGGGGTATGCTTTATTTTTCCTTTGAACAACATATTTTATTGTGAAACATTTTTAAATTCTGCTTTTTTATAAACCAATTTTCTTAGTTCTTGATAATTGTTTGGTCAAGTACTAATGTGATTGTTTATAGTAGTGAAATCTATGGGTTTAAGAACTTTTTTTTTTCATTTGGGTGTGTGGGTTTTATTCGAAAATGGAACCTTTTTGTAGTTAATTATCTTAAAGGTGCCATTTTGATCAATTTGGCTGAGTGTTTGAGGAATTGAGATTATCGGATAGGTGAAAGTAGGAAGTTGTAATTTGTAATGACTGTAAAGAAGTGGACTTGAAAGGGGGGTTTGGTGTTGGGGCAGTGGCAGATCCATGATTTTCATTTTCAAACAAAAATGTAGTGCATAAGATTTGAACTTTGAATCTCTGGATGAATTTTGAACTTCCAAACCATGGAGCAAACTTCTAGTCTTGTTAAGGGGATTCATAATGTGTATATATTGGGGTTGGGTGGATTCATATAGCTGACTCTAACTAATCTGAGATTTAGGTATAGTTAATTCATTGGGACATGGAAAGTTTTATGTATGATGGATTGTGGCTGTTGGGGGTGGCATACCCTGTGGTGGTTTAGTTGAGGTGTGCTCAAATTGTAGATGGTACTACCACTGTTATTTTGAAAAATAAATGAGAGATTTACACACATGGAACTGTGCACGAGCTTGTGGCGGAGTGTATTTAATAGAAGTCCATTGATTTTCTTGTAAGGAAATACCTGATGCTCTCCAGAAGGAGCCAACATAGCTGCTGATGCAGAGTTAGCACTACCCTGCTTCCATCCCCTATCTCACCTTCTTTTCCTTTGTTGACATTGTCGTTTGGTCACTAACGGTCTAATTAGTCATATTATCTTTCTTTGGAGGGTTGGTTTGCTTTCTCATCCAGCTTGAGGTTGGCCAGATGTGCTTTTGCTTTGATTACTCATCCAAAATGGACAGTTCAGATGTCCTTGAACAAAATTAGGAATATCTTATAGAGCCATGAGTTAACTGATAGAGATTCGATGTGCTTCTCGAGTTCTAAGCTTGTGATAATTGTCTATGAACTTTTTTCAATTCTGTTATAGTTCTATACGATTTGTCATCCAAATGATGAGTAACATCTTAGGTGGGAAGCGCGTTAATAGAGTATTTCTTCTAAGTAACTCCTGACATGGTTAAAAATATAGGAAGACACGTGGAATGGGAGCCGGACGCAAGCTGAAGTCCCACCGCAGAAGACAAAGGTGGGCTGACAAGTCCTACAAGAAGTCCCATCTTGGTAACGAATGGAAGAAGCCATTTGCTGGATCTTCCCATGCTAAAGGCATTGTGCTTGAGAAGATGTACGTTCATCTTTACTCTAATTTTTCTGCTTTTGTATCTTAAAAACATCGAAAATTGTATCTAATCTGTGAAGTTGCTATTATGTATTTGCAGAGGTATTGAGGCGAAACAGCCAAATTCTGCTATTCGTAAATGTGCTAGGGTTCAACTCATCAAGAATGGGAAAAAGATTGCTGCTTTTGTCCCTAACGATGGTTGCTTGAACTACATCGAAGAAAATGTGAGTCTTTTGCTCTTTACATGTGTAGAGCGTTTTGCATTTTTCTGGTGTACGTACTGACTTTTTGAGTTCTTGATTTTGCAGGATGAAGTGTTGATTGCTGGATTTGGTCGTAAGGGTCATGCCGTGGGAGATATTCCTGGAGTTCGGTTCAAGGTGGTGAAGGTTTCTGGTGTCTCTCTTCTAGCTCTCTTCAAGGAGAAGAAGGAGAAGCCAAGATCTTAATTTACCTCTTTTTTCGCGAAAATACCCTCAAGCCTGCAATGGACTTTTTAGCTTGTATTCGAGTTATTATTTTGTCAACTACTATTTAATTAGACATTGTACTGGAATTTTGGTTCATTAATTTTGAGTTCGAATGTTACCTTAATGTGCCATCCAACAAAAATTTGGTCTCTTGTTTGTGTTTCCTTCTTGTATGTCTGCTTTGATACATGAATCAGGTAAATTATACAGAAAAAAGTACAACTGCATAGTTTAGGTGTGTAATTGATAATTTCACCATACTTTGGTGTGTTTTTATGTTGTATTCTGAAAAATGTGTTCTTCGAGCCTTCTTTCTCGCTCTCATCTATGATGATTGGTCTCGAATGTGAAACTATTTAACACCAGTAATGTCGTATCAAAGATCCCCTCACGAGATGGGACACAAGAGTAATAGTCAGAAGGTAATTGACGACAAAGCAAGGTCTCAATGTTAAGTACTTGATGTGTTTGATGAGTTGAAAAAAAAAAATATTCTCATTGAATGTTTATAACATACCAAGTAACTTAACTACATGAATCATTTAAAGTTTGATATGATAGGCATGATAAGTGGAAAATAGGAAAAATTACAGAAATTCCACCTTTTAGTTTACTTATTACCATTATCCCTTTTAAGTTTTACAAATTTCCAAAATCCCTCATTTTTGAGCATCAGATTAGTGTATCTCGCGCATCAAATTAATGTGTCGGCGCTTATATTATTGTATCTCGCGCATCAGATTAATATATCATGTATAAAATGTACATCAAATTAGTGTATCATGTATAAAATGTAATGTATCTTACTTAACGATTAATGTATCAGCGCTTATATTATTGCATCCGTTTGAGGAAATTCTATAATTATAAACTTTTAAGAAATAGATTGTAATTTTACCTTAAAAGTATGTGATTTCTGTAATTTGCCCTGTAAAATACTTGCCAGTATTTTTAACACATCAAGCAATTTAACTAGAAGAATCAAAGTTAATGTGCAAGGTGTATCTAACTTGCATGGACTCTTCCATATCGATGCAGCACATGCTGACATTTTTTAAGAGTCCGAGCAACATAGCAAGATATCCTCATGCAACATGATATTTATACAGCAATACATGTAATTCAAAATAGATGCATTTATCAGACATCTCCAATGAGGGTAGGAAAAAATGTACTTACTGATAGAAATTTTCTTGCATCTAGTGAGGTTTTGACTGTGAATCCTACATTGAAAGACATTCAAGGTTTTTACATTCATGTAATACATAAATCAGTACTTGCACAGACATGTTCTCAAAAACCTTGATCTTAGCTCAACACGAAAAGAAAAAAAAAATCATGCATCACTTAAGCCTTCATCATGTGTGCTATACAAACGTGATGCTTTTGCCACCCCCGGAAACTAGCCTTGTTCTTGAAGCTTAACCATATCTGAAGATCAAAGTTTAAGCGCAATTTAGCACATCAATACATCATTATATAAGAAGCAAAAGAGGTTAAAGATTAAGGTTTTCAGAAAAGTTCACTACATTGGGGAGAAAGATCTTTTCATGATAATATTAGGATAGAAACACATCTTTTACCTCGCAATGAAGCATGCTTGGCTATCCTCATAAATTGTTGTTCTCTTTATGATTGATTTGCAAAGAAGGCAAATCTAAATCAGTCTTCCCAACTACATGTTCAGCTCCTTCACAAAAATCAAGACAATCACCGGAAGAATTCTTGACAGCAAAAGGCATCCTTCTAACTGCTATCTCAGGGGTATTTAGTGACAAATAGGCCAATTTGTTCATTAGAGATTCAACCTTATTGCTAAATGGGGACATACTGACTTCTTCTACCAGACTGTTTAGTTGGTCCGCTTGATTTGCGCACACATTTTTCTTTGCATTTGTTTTCTCAGGAGTATTCAAATCATCCTTGACATCTACTCTACCTTCATCACCCCTGAAAGTTGAGTCAGATTCTCTCTCAACATGATCAATCTTGGTATGTTTGAGGTCACCATTTACATCATCCTCCAGGTTCATCTCATTCATCTGGCGAGGCATGTCCAAATTATAACCATTTACAGCATCCTCCAGGTTCATCTCATTCGTCTGGCTAGGCACGTCCAAATTATAATTAACATTGCACTGAACACCTACTCCATCTTCATCCTCTGTTTGACAGAGTCTAATGTTTTCAGTAATAGAAACCTCAACAGCCTTGATGTCAATCTTCTCAATAGTATCCAAGTTCATTTCATGCTCCATAACACCTTGTTTTTGACCCTTAGTTGCAGCCAAACCAGCAAGGATATCATTGTTCAAAACACTATGATTTTCACTCTCAATTGCAACCAAACCATCACCTGGAACATCTTCAACTGTATCAGGTCCTTCAGCCACAAAGTCCTTATTGTTCAAAGTACTTGCTACTCTTTGGCTTTCGCTCTTAATGATAACTGTATCATTGTTCAAACTGACTTGGTTTTCACTCTTCATTACAACAAAACCATCACCTGCAACATGTTCAACTGTGTCGGGCTCATCAGCCACAACTTCCTCTATTCTTTGGTGTTCACTCATAATCACATCTGTATCATTATTCACAATGACTTGATTTTCACTCTTAATTGCAAATAAACCATCACCTGCGACGTGTTCAACTGTGTCAGGTTCATCAGCCACAACTTCCTCTATTCTTTGGTGTTCACTGTTAATCACATTTGTATCATTGTTCACAGTGACTTCATTTTCGGTCTTAATTGCAACCAAACCATCACATGCAACGTGTTCAACTGTGTCAGGTTCATCGGCCACAACTTCCTCGTGAATATCATTGTTAACAATGACTTGCTGTTCACTCTTAATTGCAACCAAACCGTCATCTGCAACATGTTCAACTGTATCAGGTCCTTCAGCCACAACTTCCTCATTGTTCAATATAGCCGCAACCAAACTAGCATCTGCAACATGCTCAACTGTATCAGATCCTTTGGCTACAACTTCCTCATTGTTCAATATAGCTGCAACCAAACTAGCATCTGCAACATGCTCAACTGTATCAGATCCTTTGGCTACAACTTCCTCATTTTTCAATATAGCTGCAACCAAACTAGCATCTGCAACATGGTCAACTGTATCAGATCCTTTGGCTACAACTTCCTCATTTTTCAATATAGCTGCAACCAAACTAGCATCTGCAACATGGTCAACTGTATCAGATCCTTTGGCTACAACTTCCTCATTTTTCAATATAGCTGCAACCAAACTAGCATCTGCAACATGGTCAACTGTATCAGATCCTTTGGCTACAACTTCCTCATTTTTCAATATAGCTGCAACCAAACTAGCATCTGCAACATGGTCAACTGTATCAGATCCTTTGGCTACAACTTCCTCATTTTTCAATATAGCTGCAACCAAACTAGCATCTGCAACATGGTCAACTGTATCAGGTCCTTCGGCCACAACTTCCTCATTGTTCAATATACTTGCTATTCCTTGGTTTTCACTCATACTTGAAATCAAACTAGCATCTGCAACATGTTCAACTGTATCAGGTCCTTCAGCCATATCTTCCTCATTGTTCAAAGCACTTGCTATGCCTTGGTTTTCACCCTGAGTTGCAACCCAACCAGCACTTCGGATGTGTTCAAATGGATCAGGTTCTTCAGCCAGAACATCCATATTTTTCGAAGTATTTGCTCCACTTATTGCATGTTGAACTTCAAGAGATAACTCAGGAATAAGAGTAATATCACTTGGACCACCAATGTGATTATCTGAAACATTTGACTTGTCTGAAGAAGATACAGGAGAGCGGTGTTTCAGAGTTTCAGGCCTTTTATTTGCCCTAAGAGGAACTCTTACACTCTTAGCTTTCGTGTTTGAGTTTCCTTTTGGGCTACAGACGATAGTTTCAGTTTTGGGCACTGGACTAGCTGAACTGGATTGAGTGCCAGAGTGATTATCTGAAATATTTGACTTGTCTGAAGAAGATAAAGGAGAGAGGTGTTTCAGAGTTTCAGGCTTTCTGTTTGCCCTAAGTGGAACTTTTACACTCTTAGCTTTAGTGTTTGAGTTTACTTTTGGGCTACAGATGGTAGCTTCAGTCTTGTACAGTGCAGTAGACGAATTGGAATGAGTACCATTAGGAGTCCGGACTGCCTTCACCTGCTTAACAATGAGTTTTAACATTAAAATTTGGAAGCACACTGATTCAAGAATTACAAAGATTATTACAAGTAACGTAAGATACTTTCATGAAGCTGACAGAAAATGGCCTTGACTAAATGAAAGTCCTCCACTTGGTAATCATTTTTTCCAGACAAAAAAATCAGCAGACTTAAATACACCTATTTTCTTTCCACTTGGTAATGATCTTATCATCATAATACTAGATGCTGTCATCACATAAATCATTTCTAATGCAAGGACATGAAAATAGATACTTATGAAAAGAACACTAAACTGACCCCATCAAAGTAACCCATCTTCGGGGATGGCATGCGCAATCCTGTTGGTTTCATCATGGAGGCTGGACGAGAAACTGAGCCTGCTTGCTTTAAACTCTCTCTAGGTAAAGTTGTTCCCCTAATTTCGGGCTTATCTGACTTCTGATCACTTAAATGATTGTTTATATCCAAAGTTGAGGTGTCACTATCAAAAGATCTGCAGGAGCTGGTGTCAAAGCTAGTCCTTAACTTGCTTGACCTTTGGATCGCAGAAGATGATGATGATACAGAAGACCACTCACTAATAGAACTAGCAGGCGATATATTTGCGTTGATCTTAGAAGACATCAGATAAGCTGAGACAGCAGAATTCCCAGATGGTAGTTTACTCTTCACCGCGGCTTTTGAAGGGGTTTTGAGTTTTGCACTTGCAGAAGGTTGAGCAATAGGTTTGCTATCAACCTTTCTCCTCGCTACAGGAATTGAAGACTTAGCTGTCTTGTCAGATGAAGTACTTCCAGAACTATCACTTGAAGATCTTGTTGCATGCATTTTCATTGCAGGTGAAGATCCCACAGAAGATGGCTTCATCGACGTAGTAGGTTTGGGCATCACCCTACTAGTTTTATTTAAGGCAGATGCTTTTGGTGTCTGAGCCCCTCTAACAGAAGCTGCAATTTCCCATTAAACTATCTAGGTCAGAAAAAATGTTTAAGAAAGTGTTACAAACCATAAATGATTGAAGACAGCTATTACTCATCCTTTACTCAGAAATTAATCCAAAATTTCACAAAGTCTTTTACCACTTACCTGTACTGATTTCCATGCTGTCATTATCTGTTTTGACTCGTGTGATATCCAAAGAAGCCCTTTTGGATGCAGAAACAGGTTGCAACTTTGTGTTAACTTTTGGAGGCTTTAACGATGCTCCACTTGTCGTTCTACTGATAGACTTCATTAAACAACAGAAAGCAATGTCAGTAAAATATCAGAAGTCCCAATTCTTTTGCTAATCAATCAATACTTTAAAATCCTACAGCTAGCAGACTCAAAAAAAGGGAAAATTGAAGATGAATGATGATATTTTCTTTAAATATAAGGAATTTCTTTTAATTGGCTATAGAAAAGAAAATATGGGAAAAACAGTATTTCTAAACCTAAGGGAAAATATGAAATTATGATGACACTGTAAGAAATATTGTTTGAGCTGGCTAATAGAAATGAAACTTCAAAGACAAATTACATGCCTGTGTGACTTGTGCCTTATCCTGGTTCAACCCTTTACCCAATCTTTGTGTTCCTGTAATTTGCTTTGGCTGACTTTTTGGTATCCCAGCTTGTGCTCCAATGATTCTTTTTGGAGAAATTTTTGGCTTCATCTGACATTAGGGAATATAGACAATAATTGTTAAGAAATATAGAAAAGTAACTAAATTTTCAGATGTCATCTCTACAAAATTAAACTTACCCTATCTTTTGAAGCAAGATCCACTTTCTTTGCAGCTGTAAAAAAGATTAATATTAGATTGGAATAACGTGCGAGAAATATGCATACCTTTATGATGATTGAAACTTCAACTCAAAAGAAATCTGACCCTATAGGAAGTAACCCTTCTCCCACTCCCACTCTCAAATACTATTAACTTACAAGAATTAGCTCCATTATCGGTCTTTGCAGATAAATCCCCACTAGTTGGAATGGCCACCTTCTGGATTGAGGCTCTTATATCTCCAAATAACTCCGATTCAATATGTTCTAGTGTCAAATTATCACTTTCCAACGTGGAGATTGAATCAAGTGATTGTCGCACATCCTCCTCAATCATAGGTAAAGTTTGTTTATCACCTCCCTTAATCATGCAGGACAACTCATCGGCATCAAGCACACCTGAATATGTTGTCAGTAAACTTGAGTTTGCAGTACAAGATTAGATAAATAAATCCCCCTTAATACGAACTATAAACAAAAGCTACCTGCATCTGTAAAGAAAGCACTATCCCAAGCTAAACTTTTGCGTAAATTGACCTTTCCTTTTCTTCTGGCCTTCTCAGGTTCCTTTGACTCATGCAGCTGAGGGAACTGCTCGTCATGGTTACCTTTACCAGCCATGTCCATTTCCTCTTGAATATTAATAGCTCCTGAAAACACCAAGATTCTAGCCTCAGTCTGATTTGCTAAACAGCACAAAACGAAAATAATTCACACACAATGTACAATTTCGTGTATGCAGATGTGACTTAGTACCACTATCTGAACACAGATGAAAAAAGAAACGAATTGAAGCAGCATAAGCAAAATAAAAAGTTTTTAACTCTAATAATTGTCATAAAAACCAAGGAGGAGAGTAAAAAAGGTCCACCCTTTGAGGCTTTATCGAGAAGTTTAGCAACTCTAAATCTCCATCAGGAAGCAACAACGCTAGCTATTCTTTAAGTTCTTTCAGTTACAGAATTCCACATACTAGAAAAGATCCAAATAAAGTTGAACAAAGTAACATCGCGCAGGCATAATTATAGCAGGGTCAGGATATTCCCATCCTTAGTATCGGATGTAAGGGCTTCCCCTCATCCAGCTCTCTACAGGGTAATCTCCACTAGCTGCTTCATAAAAGGTCAGCATCCTTTTTCATTTATGAGTTAAATGAGCTGGTTAGGTCCATTCCCACATTAAGTGATTATAATTCAGAGACATACCAAATACAAAAAAGAAATAACACTCCATGAGCTCTTTAGCTCATGGGCCATCAATCAAATAGGATTAACAGATTACTTCTTTTCCAACAAAACTACTATCAAAAGGCTCAAAAAAGCATGTCTAAATCCCTCTTAAGTACTTCTCAGCCCCCAGCACGGGCTCAAAAGTTTAAGGAATAAACATGCATGAAGCCCAAATTAATAAACTCCAAGAAAATGTATATCAACCTCAAGCTACTTAGTCACTTTTTTCTATCAGCTGATTTGTTCCTTCAAGACATTTGAGGTGGGATGGATCAACCTGGAAACTCCTGATATTCCACACATTAATTCAAATGAAATCACATTAAACAGCCAAAGGGTGCGAGAAAACTCAATTTATTCCAGATCTTCACATACCCAGTGTAATCCCACAAGTAGTGTCAGGGGAAGGTAGAGTGTACACATACTTTACCCCTACCTAGAGAGGTTATACCCTCAAAGAAAACTACTCTTTTTATTCAATAGTTCAAACACTAATCAAAGAATCAAAAACTATAAATAAAGTACACAAAATCCACAACTGAAGAATTGAATTCATTAAAAACCCAAAAGGGTACAAGCTAATTTCCCTTCTTTTTCCAGATCTTGTCAGAAAGACTATCTTTTTCTCTAATCCCACAGTTTCAAATCTATCCAAAACAGCTTCTATATCACCCAAATTAGGGTAAAATCTGCATACACACTAACCTCTTCATACCTCACTAGTACAATTACACTAGCTATATCATCGTTGCTGTAATTTCAAGACTAAACAAAGAAAAAAAAACAGGTTTGTAAACAAAACTAACAACTAAAATCAACAATCACCCAAAAAAAATAATTAAAAAAATGGAATGGCAAGAACCTGAAGATGGGTATTCTTCAAGACCCCAAGAAGGGAGAGGAGAAGATGAATTTCCGATAAGATTGTCATTTTCCGATGAGAAATCAATGAGACTAAACTCATTCACTTCAAGATCCATTTTTTTCACTCTTTTCAATGAACCCCAACAGTACAAATCCAAGCTAAAATTTGATTTTGAATCTGAATTTGATTTCAAAATTGAATGGATCTTTGATGATAATAAGAGAAAAAGGATAAAGGGGTTTCTGAGAAAGAAAAAAATAAGTGCGATGATAGAAATGGGAGCGCTAGAGCCAAAGAGGGAATATATTTTTTTGAATTGCTAACGAAGCAGTTTTTCAAAGAATTGGGGGAAATGAAAAATGAAATTTAATATTTTCACTAGCCGTTTGGACTTTGGACCTATGTAAATGTTATTACTACCATAACATCTCCGTTTCGTTTTAATTTGTCTGACCTAATTTTTTTTTGTATGTAGCGATTCTTTAATTTTAACTTTCTATATGAGATGTTTAAGATTACGAAATTAAATGGCATTTGTTGTATCAGTGATATTCTATTTTCTTAAATTTTGTGTCAAATTAAAATAAGTCAAATAAATTGAAACAAAAATAATACATTTTGAAATATTGAGTTGGTCATGTGGACAATTGAAGTAAAAAAAATTGATAAAATAATTATTATTTTATTTTTATTAAAAGTGAAAAGAAGAAAGGGGAGATAGTTTGATGTACTAAGCTTCATGTAATCACGTTGGATTAAGAAAAAGATCATACCTCAAAAAGGGTATGATGTATGGTTGATTCTAGGACTCGAATTATTTTATTCAAACTAATATTTTGGATCGATAGACCTCATTTTTCACTATAATTATCTTAAACTCAATTTTTTATTTCACCTATCTACCTTTTATCGTTTGCAACTGTAGGCTGATGTTACTCATGTTTAATAATTATATAATTGAAACAAACTTACAACACCAAAAATGGCAAAGATATAATTTCATATCATATGTTGAATTTGTGAGATAATTTCAGGAAAAATTAAATTTAAAAAAATTCGTGAGATAATATGTGATAAAATCAAATGAGCTCGAGTTAACAAATTCAGCTTGGCTAATTAATTAACGAAGTCTATTCATGCTAATATCTTTTATTTCTTCCTCGTTTTCTTTTAATTTTTAAAACAAGTTTTTTATAGTCACACAGAAGTATTATGATAGATTTGCAATATCGATTTTGAAAGTGTGTTGAAAGCATCATTTTAGTTTACAAGATGTCATTTATGCATGTGCACTCACTGACCCGACTAATTCAAATTTGCAAGGCCTCGCGGAGTGTCCTTAAAGGAGGAAGGCTATATGTTAGTTCGAAGTCAAGACCTTCTGTTTAAGAGCGGGTGATGTTGTCCAGTAGCCTTCTAGTAAAACAAAATTTACAATTAGAACTAATTGAGCAACTTCCTCGATCTACCTGAATCACCTATGATCGTCATGTTTCCCAAGTTCAAATGTGAGACTTCTGTTTAAGGCAAGGCCGTCTTAATCCCTAGGTCACTAAAGCCATCGCTTGGGGCTTCATATTTTTTTTAAAAGTTACTTATACATATTATTTAAAAATATATATATATGTACTATGATTGTTATGATTTCTACTGAGAAAATTGCATATAAAATGAATATAAAATCTAAATTTCGTAAAAAACAATTTGATGAAAAAATCGATAACCAAATCACAAAGTCCCTTGAAATTAGAGTTGATTACTTTATATATATAGTAGATCAAGCTATTTTTTTCACTTCAAAATAGATTTGAACCAATGTTTTTGGTTTCTCAGTGGTAAATTGAGATCACTAGATGATGAGAATTTAAAAAAAAACATAGTCTTTAACCTTGAACTTTTTTGACACATAATAGTTATTATGCTATTAGATTTATTTTTTGAATTAAAAATGTTAAGAGGAATAATACAAGTAGAAAATAATGATTTAATGAAATACTCAATCAAATAAAAGACATGATTCTTTTCCAAATACACATATTGCTTATTGAATAATGTTAATAGTTCCTCTAACCATTGCCTCATCCGAAAGAATGAAAAAACTACAGAATATGGCAAACATACCTATATATTCAAGAAAAATAGCTACATTTTATTTTTTTCATAATATATGGATATAACTACACAATAAATAGCAAAGTTAATTATATGCAAATAAATATTTTTTTTATATACATTTAATATAAATATATACAAAATAGGAAAGTTATTATTGAATGCCTAATAATTATTGCAGGCACGTTTTACGTGATCTTTTCCCAATGTTTACCATCATCAACTTTTTCTCTTTCATGCCTAATTAATTTGGCTTACAGTATTTTAATAAAGGGAAAAAGGTCAAAAATGCCCTTCTTCCATCTATTGGATCAAAAATGCCCTTAGAGTTAAATTTAAGCCTAAAATTACCTTTCCTTTAACAGAAGCTGATGTGGCAAATACATATTTTTTAATTAAATATATGAAATTATTTTATTGGTCCACATATAATTAGATTTCATTCCCAATCATACCCATCAATCCAAACCCATTTCTAAAAGACCCAACTCTTTCTACCTTAATCTTCATCTTCATCTTCCTTCTATAAAATTATTTGGAGGATTAATAAAATACTAATAAATTCTTTCGGTATTCTTGGATCTTTGAAAAAAGGTCTCTCTGGAAAAAAAATTAATTTACCTACTAATTTTGTGGTAGTGAAGATAAGTGCAATTTAATTTGTACACCAAAACGTATCAAAAGAATGAATGATTTACTGAGATGGGAACAAAAAAATCCTTCATTCAATCTCCCATGGAAGCAAGACACGATTCTACTTTTCATCGAATCGAGCCATGTTTATTACATTTCAAGAAAACTAGAGCCTCTAACAATAGAGGAGGAGTTCAATCTCCAATTAGCTCATGAAAGACTTCGAAATTTTTTGAGAAATGCTTGGAACATCATGTTCTTTTACTGATTGTTTTGATATTATTTTATTAATCCTCCAAATAATTTTGTAGAAGAAAGATGAAGAAAGTGGGAGAAATGGGTTTGGGTTAATGGGTATGAATGATTGTGAATGAAAGTGGGTCTAATTATATGTGGACCAATAAAATAATTCCACATATTTAATTAAAAATATATATTTGCCACATCAGCTTCTGTTAAAGGTAAGAGTAATATTAGGCTTTAAATTTAACTCTAAGGGCATTTTTTATCCAAATAGATGGATGGAAGGGCATTTTTTATCCAATAGATGGAAGAAGGGCATTTTTGAGCAATTTCCAATACCTTAAGGGCATTTTTGACCCTCTTCCCTTTAATTAATGAGTAAGTGAATTTCTTTCTGGGCAATTAAGAATTGTTGATAGGCTTCATTTTTGTATGCATATTCTTTGTATCTTATTTAATCGTAAAGGTACACAATGCTTTGCGCGGTGATGGCGAATACTGTAGGCAGTAACTGATGAGTAATGTACCAAAAATACTAAATTTCCTGACTAGCTGAAAGTAGTTTCGCTTGTTTCACAAATTGGACCAGTATAGAACACCATAACTCCTCATGATCATAATGATGGTATAACCCAAGTTGGCGGACAAGGACGACTTAGTGATAATTCAGGATAAAAAGATTCAATACTTCCATCTTCAAGATTGTAAGCCCCTGTGTCTGTTCCACCGCCACATTCCAAAAAGTAGTTCTCTTCAAACCAATCGTCAGTAAAATATATATGATTAGGCTTAACTCCGGTAAATTTAGGGGAATCAATGGAAGTTGCTCCATTGAGACCCAAAAAAATAGTTGAATCTCCCAAGTCGTTAATCTCTTTCAACTTACCTTCTATTGCATCTAATTCATATACTTCACATTTAAAAGTGTCCAGGCCATCTTCAATATTTGGACGCTTTCTACCAAATCGGACAACAAGTAATAGTGCATCATTTACCTCAACAAGATAGTATTGAACATCACCTTGTGAAAACAAGTCCCGATTATCGTTAAGATAAATCAAGCGCGATTCTACGCGTGGTTCAGGACCGTCTTGAACATCAATGATACCTATTTCAGCGCTCCAAGAAACAAGATAGAATCTGCTCTTGTAGTAAATCATATTGGAGACTCCACCGATTCTATAAACAATTTCAAATTCAGTCCAATTAATATCTCCAGGTCGCCAAAAAGCCAAATGATTAACATCTGTGTTATATGCAATGACGAGTACATAATCTGATGTAAACGATGGATTGGCAGATAAAATAGCGTTTCTGATGTAACGATATTCCTTTTCTTCTTCTTCTTCCTCCTCCTCCTCTTCTTCTAAACCTAGAAAACCACTTAAGGCAAATTGATTTGGAAGTTGAATTTGGGTACGTGAGAAAGGATTCAACAAACTGACCTCTTTTCCGTCTAATGATTGGGTGAGAAGCCATCCCATCTGATCAGACGGGAAACATTCTCGGCCTTTAGCCTCAGGGAGGTACAATCTACGCGAAACTTTACCTTTGGAAAGAGAGTAAAATTCTCGATAATCGTCATCTTTATCAGGGAGCATTAGTAAAGGAAGTTGGGGATAAAGCATATCAAAATTGTCCTTAGTAGAAGCAGTTCGCCATGAGGTACAAACACCACTGAAAGCAATGAAATCTTCCATCACTTTAACATGCTTTGCAATCAGAACAAGGAGATCATGAGGCAATCCTGCCCAGTCCTCTGCCGCCGCTGCCATAGCTGTATAATGAGAATTCTAGGGCAAATAGCAAGGATTGTAAGAGTTGCAGCAATTTGAGGGCTTTTTATAATAACAATTTGATGGCTTTCCTATATTAACAAGGATTTGGAATAGGCAAGCCCAATATATTTTACTTTACCTTTTTTAAAATAAAATAAAAAATTGGAACCACTAAAATATAGTTACCTAGGATTGACATCCAAAAATATTTAGCAAATTTTAAGGGTGCGCAAAAATTGGATCGAAAAAAAAATGTTATTGATTTGTTATTGAATTATTGTTTTAATGATTTTATAAAAAGAATTATAGCATACTACTAGTTACTACATTTGCCGTATAGGCTATAGTTTTTAATGCACATTATTATTTTAGTTATTTTATTTATGTTATATTATTATAGTTCTTTTCATGTTAATTATTACTGTTGTTTTTATTTTATGAGCATGGGTAAAATTACATTATTGTCATGTTGCGCCAAGTTAGAGAAGTTATATATTGTTTATGAGCATCTTCTTATTGGTTAAATTGAATATTGAATCGTTAAAGACTAAAAATCGATAAAAATATCTTGTTAGTTCGTTTATTGATTTAACATATTTAAAAATTAAAAACTGATAAATCAAACCGATAATACATAAAATCCGTTTATTAATTTAACATATTTAAAAATTGAAAATTGATAAATCAAATCGATAATACATAAAATCGAACGACCGATGCATACCCCTTAAAAGTAAGTGACAGTTAAAATGCTTTATTTTTGCAACAACATTAATATATATATTAGATGAATTCGAGTGAACATAACAATGCAAACAAATATATATACAAATGTGTTGGGTAAATATGTAATCAAGCAAATAAATGTAAATATTATACTGTTTGTTCCTCGAGAAGAATATTACGAAGACATATTTGTCAAATTAATAGACAAAAATTGAGGAACAGACAGGAATATACAATACCCAACATAAATTGATAAATTGCTCAAAAATATGACCTAAAAACAATTGACACAAAGTAGTCAGATTGATACAGTGATAAAGTATACATTGCAAATCGATTTTTTTCAATCTCAACCAACTCAAATCTCCTCTAAATAATCTCAAATTTTAGATATTATCTCCTCTCAATATTTCAAATCTTTCGAAATATTATTCACTCAAACCGAATATTTCAAACCTTACAGTACATTGATTTTAAGATTTGAGCTTGAACACGAAAGAAGAAGAAGGTAACCAACGAAGACATAAGGAAGAAGAGAGAAGAAGCCATTAATGGCTGAAAGGAAAAGATCAAAGAAGGTAAAGAAAGCTTAATAGTTTGGACATGGTTTTAAATTAATAATTTTATCATAATTAGAAATTAGGTTAATTTAAAGTTGATATTTTGAAAAGCAATATGTATTTCTTTTAGTTGTAATTTCCCCCCATGAACATGAAAACTATTAAAATTCCCTCATCTCTTAAATATAATCTGGGCCAAATGAGATAATAGCAAGTCATAGATAAGGTATATGCATATTCTAAGACACCACATTAAGAAATTACATATCTCACGGATGCATGTCAGCTTCTCCAAAAATAGTGTATTTTTGAAGAATCCGACAGAGATGCAACATCAAAAGTGAACGAGTCCCCGCAACTTAGATTTTCAGTAGCAAAGACCAAGTAATTCAATAGTATCACACCCTTTACTACAAAAGCAAGTAACAACCAACAGAGGACAATCAATTGTAAGTGCATCTTACCTTTATTAATATGAAGAAATTCGAACTGTAAACACCAATTCATCAAGTATACTGTAACGACTAGATGCCAAAATATTTTATATTTCCGGGTAAACGAATATATAGACACAAAATTCTTAGTTGAACACAAATAAATGGGATATTTCCCAGTCTATTTTTCTACTATCTAAAACATTTCTAAGTAGACAAAACAGTCAGCAGTTAATTTCAGCTATGTGCAACAAAATTCATATTAACATAGCTAACAAGTTAACTATTTAATCCGACGGGGAAAATCCAGCAAATTAGGTAATGAAGAATTCATCTTACTTCAGTTTTGAACGCCCTTCACTGCTACTGATGCTGCATACTTCCTTTTACGTTTTGAGGTACAAGATGCTTTGCGTGGTGATGGTGAATACTGTAGGCGGTAACTGATGAGTGATGGACCAAAAATACTGAATTTCCCTGACTTGCTAAAAGCAGTTTCAGCATCGGCACGCCTCTTGAAAACAACTCTTACTTGCTTTCTCTTGTGAATAAGCTTGGTCTCAGATTCACAAAGTGGACCATACTGACTAAATATTATGTTTAGATCTGCTATGGGAGGAACTGATTCTAAATCTGAAAACTTAAGAATCAGCGTGGTTGGGGAGTATTCGGAACTTCCATCCACAAGATCAGATAGATTTTCTCTTTCTGAATTCTCAACCAACGGGCCTACTTCTTGTTTATAGTCCAAGATCGGACTCAGGCCAGGAGAAGTCTCCCATCTAGCATTAGGAAAATCCTCCTCGTTTTGGACCTCTGGTTCAAATAACACCTGATCTTCGGGGTTGCATTGAATAATCCTATCAGTCCAATACGAATCCTCAATACCTTCTATCGACAAAGTTTCAGCAGATGCTGAGTTGGATGAATTTTGTCCTATATGCTTTTCTGTCGGCTTTGAGTGGTCTGCTGACACAGTAGTTTCCGAGCAAGTTAAATTCCTATAATCACAGAACAAACTAGCTTGTGACAGCAAAATACTACTCGCATTCATGGGATCCCTGGCTGCCGAATAGAGCTTTGAGAGCATTTCTGTTGGAGAAGGGAATTCTTTTGGAATCAACTGTTCTCCTTCAGATTTCACGAGACCAAGTACTGAATCTCCAAAACCAATATTTATCGAGTTCTCATTATGCTCGCTCGTTCTTCGGGAGTTTCTGTCAATAGACTTGAGATTTCGCCTTGCAGCTTTATGAGATGGTAAAGACATCTTGTTACCACTGGTTGGTGACAATTCTTTTTTCCTTCTTTTTGCCTTTGAATTGCTAGGCATATATTCAAATGTTAAATGTCTCTTCTCAGAAGACACAGACTTCCTCTCTCGCCCAGCTATCCCTCTAGATTTCTTCTGATCATTTGATATACGTGAACTGCTCCCATACACCAACACGGACATTGATTTTACTTTTTTACCAGGGTGCTCAGCAATCCCCGAGCAACGAGGACGCTTTGTTGAGGAAGTACCTTGGACATTAGAATTTTCCTCCGACGCCACATCACTAGCATCTTTCTTCCCAAGCAGTGGTTCAACATCATTATCATTCTCAAACAAATCGCTAAATTCTTCTATTACTGGGTGCTCATTATAACCATTCCAGCGATTAAAGGCCGCCAATTGAGCTTTTGCCAACATAAAAGACAATCTGTCAAGCCGGGAATGTGGAGCTGCTGCTACTGACTTGAGTGTTCTAACAAGTTCGGTAGGGTTAAATGGGGTTTGATCTGAAAAGTTGTCACCTCCAATTCTCATGTTTGATTCCGACTGGATACCAGCCTCTGCAACAATCTGAGATTTCATTTTTGCTCGGGTTTCCTCCGGCAAACATGGGCAGGCGAGTCCCAACTCAACCTGTCTAGAGACTTCATCTAGAGCACAGTTCACTGCATGAGAAAAGTGTTCTGAGTTGCTCTGTTTCTCCATTCGAGAGAAGTACATCTTAAATGGCTTAATGCTAGATGCTTCATTCCATGCAAATGTCTGGTCACCAAAATACGCTATAAGATAGCAATTCTTTTTAAAGTATTTCATTGCGCTGTTTGATGCAGCAGAAGGGTCCAATATCTGCCCAGGCCACCAAGGATGACTCCTCACCTTACCCCATACTAAATCGGACACGTAAAACTTCCCTTCCTCTTCCATTCGGTGCTTAACCCCTCGTCTTTCTGGAACGATAGCATCAGGCCCAACATCCATACCATCATTAATGTTGACTGTTCTACCATCAGGAACAGATCCATTTGTCCCACCTGATACCTCTTGCATGTTGTCGGCTCCTTCTACTACATTCCCCCTTCGTGCAAGATGTGAAAATCCCGTCAAATCAACCACAAGCTCACCATCAAGCCGACCATACCCTGCAAACCCCATTTCACCTTCGAGATCACATGGACCCAAATCAATCTCCACACCTAAACCTTCCATTTGCACTCTTAAACCCTTAACAACGTCATTACCTTCTCCAAAAACCCTAACCCCATCATCAATAACCGATTCACAAACTAAATCCAGATTATTTCGATTTTCCATTAGGGTTTCATTTCCTGATTGATCATCAACACTAACAACTCTGCAGTTTTGATCCGAATTCACCGACATTGCAGAAATCCTGACATAACATATACATCATCAAAATAATGATGTAAGCACATGAATCAACAGCTATTTCAACATAGAACACATAATTTCACACATTTTGATCCGAATTCACCGACATTGCAGAAATCCTGACATAACATATACATCATCAAAAAAACACTGTAAGCACATGAATCAACAGCTATTTCAACACAGAACACATAATTTCACATGATCCAAATTCACCGACATTGCAGAAATCCTAACAAATAGAAAACACATACATATTCAAAAAACGCTGTAAGCACATGAATCAACAGCTATTTCAACATAGAACACATAATTTCACACATACATAAAAAAAAACGCTGTAATCACATGAATCAGCAGTTATTTCAATATAGAACACATAAATTATACACATACATCAGGAAATTTTTTTAAAAAAAAAACAAACAAACGGTAAGCACATGAATCGGCAGCAATTTCAACATAAAACACATAATTATACACATAAATCATTAAAAAAAAACGCCGTAAGCACATGAATCAGCAGCTATTTCAATATAGAACACATAATTACACAAATAAAAATCGAAAAAAAAAATTAAAAACTGTAATCACATGAATCGATAACAATTTAAAATCAAATTGAACACATGCAGGGAAGATGGCTAGTATGAAAAATGTTTTACCTCTGACCATTGATTTCTCCTCGAGAGAGAGATTTCCAGAAAAAAATATAAGTGTGAAGGTATAAAGGACTGTTTGTTAAGAGTTTGAAGAATCGCTGAAGCGACACGTGTCGTTACGGCGTCGTTTTTGTATAGACATGCAAAAAGGCATGGACTTTTTGTTTCGTATATATTTTTATTTTAGTAAAAGAAAATTATGAGGAGAGCAAGATTAAATTTAGACTTAAGTATTAATTAGGCTTTGTACAGTAAAACCTCTCTAAATTAATATAAGCGAAATTATGAAATATTATTATTTTATAGAGGTATTATTTAGTAATTGATAAATTAATATTTATTAATTTAAAGAGTGTTTCAACACCAAAAAATTGTTTAGGAATAAAATCTCGAAGAATTTGAAAGAACCCACTTTTGTAGAGGTATTATTTAATCGATAAATTAATATTTATTAATTTAAAGAGTGTTTCAACACCAAAAAATTGTTTAGGAATAAAATCTCGAAGAATTTGAAAGAACCCACTTGTGAAGACGTCATTCATAAACTTGAAGTCATGATTAATAATCTCAATTAGCGCAATAAAATGAATGTTAATAACATATTGGATGGGTGAAAATGATACATGTTCAGAGATCCAGAGCGTAGAACAAATTGTGGATATCATTGGAAAAACAATGTTGATAAAGTTGAAGATGATACAATACATTTGGAAATCAGTTACACATAAAGCACTTGCATCTAGAACTCTTCACAATTTTATGGTGCAATTAGAAAAGACAACACTGAAACTTTTGGATGCAATAAGAAAAGTTAGAGATGAGCTCCAACTAATTTAAATTTTAATAAAAAACAGAACATAATAGAATTATATTTCACAAAATTTTCTTAGATATATTTATACTTTCAAAGAATTATTAATTTATAATATTAATGAGACCATGTATTTATATAGGGGTTTTATGAAAATATATTATTTTATTATCTTATCGAAATGAGTGATTTTTTCCATTGACCCAAGTCGGGACCGGAAGAAATTATTATCTTATAGAGATTATTAATTAACCGAATATTAATTTAATGAGGTTTTATTGTATATTTAAAGCTTAATAATGGTATTGTTTTACGTGTGAATATGAGACGTATTTCCTTTTTACGAGACGACTTACTTACCGTCTTTGATATAATATGAAAAAAATACTTACTTATCTAAAAAAAAATGTTTAGTGGTATCAAGCTACTGCTAGCTTTAGCGCTAGGCTTGAAAATGATTAGTGTCGGATCAGAAATTGTTGTTAGTGCATTTCAATTGGGAAAAAAAATCATGATCACAGAAAAAAATAAATCACGTGATAATGATATCATATTCATTAAGTAAATCTTATTATATCGAAATAATATTGATCCAAAATATATTGGAAATAGTAATTCGAGAATATTTTTAGACGTGATTGAATGTACTATCTTAGGTACAAATCTAATCGAGTCAATGCTTTTACGAATTGAATTTCGATTAATCCAATTACTAGGCTCAAATTTCATCCCATACATGATACACATCCCCTCTATTTTTATTTGTTTTAAAGGAAAGAATTCAGATCTCTTCTTATTTATTTGTTAGTATTTTCTTTGTTCACTTTTACTAATTTATTATATTAAAAATAAATATATTTATTAATAAAAATATTAAATATATATAATTTATTAGACATTAAGTGTGTGTATATATAATCAATTAATTTAAACTATTTTTAATAGCACAAACTATATTTTATCCTTTTTCATTTCTATATTGCCCCGTGTGTTCTTCTCCCGCCAAAACTATCGTGAACCATTTTTTCCCTCTCGGAGAGCTTTGTACGGTCCAATCGCCACCGCTATGACCGGAGAAATGGCGGTGAACGGGAAGATTCAACAGAAACTGAAGACGCCTATCGGTCTCGGTAAAGCACTGTCGATTTATTTCCCCGGTATCGATTTCCATGTCGGTGACCCACAATTCCTACTCGCCTCTGAGCTTGTTCGCTTCTTCTCTGCTCCTTCCGGTGAACAATTCGTTTCTCAGGTTAGCTCTCGAAGACACGCTATGATTACTTACTTTGGAGAGTTGAGTGATTTATGGTCGAAATCACATCTAAAAGTATCTTGTGTAAGTTGTGTGAGTTTCCTATATGAAATATCACATGTCCAGGTAGGAAAAAGCAACAATTGATAGTTAAGATTTGTTTTGATAAATAGTTGGTTATAATTGGCATAGTGAACTCAAACACCAGGAATGAAACTCAAAAAAGATCTGGATACTTTAGGTGTGTTTTTGAGTTGTTTTGTTACAAACAATTGTGAAATGGCTGGCTGAATTTACTAGGAAATTAAGATGGATTGACTGTTGTACTCCATACACCGAGTATTTGCTTTTTGTGTAGTGTTTTTGAGTTGTTTTGTTTCAAACAATTGTGAACTGTTTTCTGCATTTGATGTTTTCATATGGTGAACTTGGATGATTGTAATCTGTATCTGCTACTGTGAATAAGGCGAAGTTCATACTAGTAGCAAAGGAAATTGCTGATTTACTGATTTTTTCCATTTAATATTTCTTCTTCTAAACTTTTTTTAGTTGCCGGATAACCATAACTAATAGGAACTGAAAATGAAGGTCAAAGACTGATGTTGAATTATTAAGTATGCTTTTGGCCATAATTTCCAAATAATTTTCATTTTATTTGGAATTGATGGAGTTGGAGTTGAAAATGGAATTGTGCTTGGTTATACGTTTTGCGAAGAATATTTTGAATATTGTTCATATTTCAACTTAAATACAACTTCGAAAGTGAAAATTGAATCGGAAAGCAGGTTATAAGTTGTTTGCCAAATTTAAAATACACCAAACAATAGTTTTCAAATAAAGTGAATAATTTTTATGGAGAGACGGGTCCTAAGTCTAGGTGAATAGAGGTGGATCCACTTTTTTTTTAAATTTATGGGTTCCTACAACGATTTCAAATTAATTATAATAATAACTGGATTCACAGTCATAGTACTTACAGATTTTTAGTAGATTTCTTATTGCTTATACAAGGTCAAGGCAAAAACTATTGGTTCTTGTGAAACCTTCCATTGTACTCTAAAACCACCATCGTAGGTGAAGGATGATGATGCCACATATTGCTTGTCATGTACTTTCAAAGTCCAAAAAGTTTGTGAACAAAGGACTCTTTTGCTATTTCAGAAAGTTGGTCTTCCTCTAATCTCTTATTTCTTCTTGTGGAGGGTTTTATTATACTGTTTGATGTTTCTTGTCTAAAGTATTCGAATGGAGAACGTTATCCACTGGAGTCTATATCTGACAATTATGGCATAGTACAGTACTAATAGTAAAGGAAATGGCTGATTTGCTGATATTATTGTAATATTTTAGTGTTCAAGCATGATTCAATTGCTGGAAAATTATAATTCTTAGAGTTGTAAGTTACAGATTAAAGAATGATACTGAATTATTAATCTAGGTGAAGGAGGTTGACGGCACGTTCTTATTGCCACTGGACTTTCAGCAATTCCAAAAACTTTGTGAGCTCCAAGAATTTTATACAATTTTAGAGAGTAAATCTAAAGATGCTCTGTTGTGTATGAGTGCTGCGTTACACAAGGTAGTACATTTACAGTTATGAAATTCAGTTTTTCCACATATTTATATTATTTTATCTTAATTGTATCGTTACGTTATGTCCCTGCTGCTTGCAGATTTACTTTATGAAATTGGGGGATGAAAGTTTTGATGATTTTGTGAAGATAAATATACGTCTCCACAACTATCCTCAATCAATGATTGCATTGAAGAACCTAAAAGCTGCTTATATTGGTAAAATGATATTCAACTTTACATTTGCTCTTTATCGATCAATTAGCTTAATGCTGCTTAGATTCTTAATATGTTTTTTTCACATGATAGATAGGCTTGTCTCTGTACGTGGTACAGTGGTAAAAGTCAGCACAGTCAAGCCTCTGGTGATGCAAATGTGTTTTGCATGTACTAAGTGCGGAACCAGTATTACTCGTGACTTTCCAGATGGAAAATTTTCACCTCCACCAGTATGTGAATTGCATGGTTGTAAATGTAGGACTTTTAATCCCATAAGGTCTACAGCTCGAATTATAGACTTTCAGAAAATAAGGTAAATTCCTCTTCCTTTGATGTCTGTAGACTGTACTTCAACATCTTTTTATATCATAGTTTTTGGGTAAAATATGTTACTAAATATTTCATTTCTATTATTCTATTCTTCTTCTTAACTCTCTGTTTTATTGTTCATTTCTTATGTAAGTTAACTATGCTCTCGTAGAATTCAGGAGCTGCTGAAATCTGAACATCATGAAGAGGGACGAGTACCTCGAACTGTTGAATGTGAACTAACTGAAGATCTTGTGGATGCATGCATCCCTGGGGATATTGTGACTGTCACTGGTATTATTAGGGTGATTAACAATTACATGGATATTGGAGGAGGTAAATGATTATATAGAGAACGCGACATAGATGTGTTTGGATAGCATGAATGTCTTTCCTCCACCTATAAAAAACAAATTAATATACTTATCCTGTTCTTGTGAGCTTATTAATATTTTGAACAAATAATCTGAATGTTTTTCTCTAACAACAGTTTCATACTTATGAGTATAGATTGCAGCATCTTACGAGCAAAATTTTCGATCCTCCTAATTTTTTCCTTCCATTCCATCTCTTGCTCGAGATGAGGATACATATATATGCTATATATGTCATGCGTGTGTGTGTATATGTAGAGAGAAGTGAGTACATCCCTGATATAGATCTTGAGAAATGAATGCAGACTTTGTTTAAGAGCCATAAATGTAAGTTTGTTTCTGTCTTAGCGCAGCAAAAAGTGTGTTACGCCGGATTTTCTCCATTAAATTAGATTATATATGTGAACACCAAATATAGCCTTCTTTTATCGGACTGTAACATATGGTTCCCTGTTTAAATTAAATATATAAGGGAGAAATTTAAGAGAAAGTTGATGAAGTGTGCTGACCGTTGTTTTTCATGCAT